TAGTTATTTATATATATTTAGTTGTGTATTGATATTTATATTTTTCATTTTTTTCTCATTTTTTAAATTCTCATTTAATCAAATGTATGATTTTTTTTTTCATATTGTATTAAACTATTGAACTTATACAATGAGTTGGGTTACTGTTATATTTTTATCTAATCTAAAAGTTATTAATTGAATATTTTTATATTCTGTTTTTTTTTTTTTTAATTTTTGCTTTTCTTCATGAAAAGGAAGTTGATGTGTTTCCATTATTTTTTGTATACAGATATGAGACGAGGTACGTGAGGTGCATCTTCTTCTAGATAACAGGTTGATCTAGAAGGAGAACCACATAGGTCATTTCGTCGTCTTATTCGGGGGCCTCGTAGGGCTGTTCCTACACAACAGCAGCTGCCTAGCTTGAGCCAGCCTCCCGCACAGCAACAGATTTCCAATTTGACTCAGCTTCCCACACAACTGCTATAGGAGCAACCCACTGTTACTTAGCCACCATTGGCCGATGACCAGTTCACTGCTGATGATGCAACAATGGAGGAGGACACTGAAGAGCATAATTTGGAGGCTGAGTTGAATGCTGAGTATGCTGTGCTTGATCCTGAGTTAGATGCTCAATTGGAGGAGGAGCTATCACGTGCTGTCCCAAAGACAGGACGTGGCATGGATAAAGGAGATGACGCTCCTGCAGACCCGAGTCAAAGGAAAGTGCTTAGCCTTAATCGCCGAGACACATTCAGCCATGAGAGGTTTGGGAGGACTGCCACAGTAATTTGGAAGTACTTGTATGATGAGCCAGTGCTTTTCTGGTCTAGTTGGCTTGAGGAAAAGAAGAGGGTTGCTTGGGAGAATTTTTAGGTATGAAAATTATAGAATAAAATGAAGTATTTTTTGAGAATTTATTTAGATGCTATCACCTCACTCTTATGGCATTTGATATGGAAGTACAAGGCATATTTTATATGATTTTTTATATTTTATTTATAATAGTGAAAAAAAAAATGACAATTTAAGCAAAATTTTGCTCTTTTTTAAAGAAAAATCAAATAAATTATTAACATTTAATTATTTTTTTTATTGCAGAGGACATATTATTGGGAAGAGGATAATGCTCGTATGTATAAAATCTGGAGATTACATTGTCGAAACCGTTTTCGAGACGAGCTTTATCGAGCTCGAAAGGCGTGGGTCAGGGACAAGAAGTTGCCCGAGTTCATGCATAAGGATACCTTAAAAATTTTGTTGGCAAAATGGAGGAGTCCAAAATATATTACACTCTAGGAAAGAGGTTGACAAAATCAAGCAAAGGGTGATTGTGTGACCCACACAACTGGATGCCTTTCTATTGGGATCCATGAGGCTCGACTGGTTAGTAGGATATACTTATATATATACATATATAAATTATTTTTGTTTACCATAAAAATGGAAATGTTATTGATTTTATTAATGTTTTAATAGGCGGCTAAAAGAGGAGGAGTTAGGCCGACACCTTTAGAGTCGTACTTGTTAACTCACACGACTCACCGACCTGATGCTCCAGAAGATGCCCCACCTGCTTGGATATGTCCATAGGCTGAGCAGACATATGTAAGAGTTTGATTCTTTTATGATATTAATTTTATTTATTTTTAATGTCATATTGCCATAAAAGAAGAAAAGTGATACAATTTTTTATCCATTATATTCAGTAAATGATTATTTTTCATTTGATTTCCTATTATCATTTGAAATTGCTAACTAATGAAAATTTTATTTTTGAAACAGAACGATGCTCACCAAAAATATGTGGAGAAGCATGGGCCAAATAAGGATTCATGGCCAGAATGGGATCCACTTATCTGGAAGGAGGTGGTTGGACCTCCTAAAAAGGGTCAGATGAGAGGGATGTCTACATTACAAGATCCAACAGAACATGGCATCCCTTGGCGACGATATGACATGAGTGACGCCTCCTCTTCTACCACCAGGATTTTTACGACACAGGTTCAGTAGTTGCAGTCTGAGTTTACTCAAGTTTGAGAAGAAATGGCTGAGCAAGTTCAGATAGAGGTAGCCGCATGTATTCATGCAGAGGTATCACAGAGAATATCAGAGATGGAGGCCAGCTTTGAGAGGAGATTCCAAGAGCACATGCGCTTACTTAGCCAGCAATATTCTATGACACAACCCTAGACTGGTTATCCTTCTTCTGCACCGCCCCAGACTACTGATCCTTCTTTTGAAGGATTTAGACCTGATCACTTACCACCTCATAGTTAGAGATATTGATATTTGAAACTTATATTATATATGTTTATATATATGTACTACATATGTAGATATATGGTATGTAGGATGAGAAGTTAATATATATTTTATTAACTTAAATTAGTTTTTAGTTATGTAGTATTTGAATTTAAATAAGTAAAATGTATAATATTAATAAAATTGAACAATCCTATAGTAAAAAGAAAATAATTATAATATACTATTTTACAAAAAAATAGCATATATATCTTTATCTAAATTAAAATTTTTATAATTAATTATTAGCTCAAAAAAAA